GGGTGCAGTACAGGTGTTTTGGAAAATGCTCCTTCGGGGAATTTCTGATCCAGGGGGACCATTCTTTAAGGTGGTGTGGGACATGGTGAATGCCTGGCAAGGTCCAGGTGCCTCTTTTCTATGGCTGGGAAGTTCCCAGGTCAGATGTAGGATTCTCTTTCCCATGAACATAGTAGCACAAGCATTGGCCGTTGGGGACATGACGGATCATTGGGCTTTTATGAGGTACCTCAAAGGCCTGTCATTTGTAAGATTTCTTCCATTGGGAAAAATTAATTTTCCATTTCAAAGAATCAACTCAGTGAAATATTTTGATCAGGCCCTTGGTCTACATTTGGCGCTGCTTTTATGCAGTGTTAGTAAGTCCGTCTGTCCATCCCTTAGTGGTCTGCCATGCTCCTTTCTCCCCTTTTCATTTCCAACGAAGAGTGAGTGACATGTCACAGAAACTTGGGGTGGCACAGAGTGGGTGTATCAGCCCGGGGGAGCTCAGGTCTGGGCCTTGCCGGGCGTGGGGCGAAGGGCATCTTTCCATGCTGATGACAGTTTCTGAGCCTCCTGGCAGTGGAGGCAATGTGAGTCAGAGCTGGTGATTCGAGGAGCTCTGCAGGGTGAGCCCATTCCAGCTCCGGCAGCTGCTGCTCCAGGGATGTGGGTTGAGAGCCTGTGTGCTGGGTACTCTTGTAGGTGCTGGGGACTATGGTAAGTGGCACAGCCAAAGCCTCCTCCTCTCTTGTAGGCTGCCATGGGGCATCTAGTAAGCTGGCCTTTGTGTCCTTTGAGTATGTGTGTGTACAATAGATTTAACCTTCCAGACTGCACACAGGGCCCCAGTGCCACTTTACCTCACCAAAGGAGACCAGGTGTCCCAAGTTTGACAGACTCAAAAAGGCTTCCTTTTTTTTTTTTTTTTTTTTTTTTTTTTTTTGGTATTGGGCATCAAACTCATGACCTCACGCTTGCCAGGTTGGCACTGTACCCCTGAGCTATATCCCCAGCCCTAGGTTCTTTTTTTTTTTTTTTTTTTTTTTTTTTTTTTGTGGTACTAGGGATCGAACTCATGACCTCGCACTTGCCAAGCAGGCGCCTATGCCCCTAAGCTAAATCTCCAGTCCCTAGCCCTAGGTTCTTAACATCAAAAAGCAAATGCAAAATCCACAGTAAGATTTTGAAAGTCCTGGTTCAACAAAATAGCAGGTGGGGCACAAATTTGGGGGTAGAGAGCAGTGAGGGGATCAAGACAGTGTCTATTAAATCAAGATCCACTGGCTCTGGGCTGGGGCTGTAGCTCAGAGGTAGAGCAGGTCCCTCGAGTGCAGGAGGCTACACACACATGCAGATTTATGACTCCAAAGAGCTTTCTAGGAAAGCCCTAGAAGCTCCCCCACTTGTGTAACATCGAAACCTTGGGGAAACCCATTGTGTCACACTGCCTGCCCCCCAGCAAAACTCTGTGGTTGAAAGAACTTATTTCAGTGCCTATTTTTCCTAAGGTTCCTAAAAATCAAACTCTGTGCAGGCAATGTATGCTGATTCTCTTGGGACTAATTAAACAAAACAGATTCAGAGAAAGAAACGCAGGGAAGATTTAGGATAGTTAAAAACGAAAAAAAAATTTTTTTTCGGGATAACAGCTGTCAATTTTTCCACTCGAGTGTTTTTCCGAAGGGCAGAGGGCAAGAAGCATCGTGCATCCTCTCCGAGCTGAGACACATTTCAACATGGAGATATTAAACGCAAATTTGGTGCCCACGACAGGTGCCAGATTTTAATTACAGTTGGCATTTCTGAACATGCTTTTGGCAGAGGTGGCCATCTTGTTGGAAAAGCCATAGATTTTGACACTAGCAGTATGGGTGCCCAGTTGAGAAGGATTGAAAATAATTTTCCTATTTCTATCTTGTTGGTTGCGAGAGAAAATTTCAGTGGCTCATATTTAAACAAGATATTCTGTGTTCAGAGAAAACAGTTTTGGGTGGAATTGTCTTGGTGGCTTGGTATGTTGGCTCTCAGGGTAATAATTTCTATCAGAGCCTTAAAAAAAAACCTCACCAGTTTAAACAATAAAATAGGATGTTTCATTACAAGAAATGAAGTTGGCATGCACCAGGTTTTCCATTAAGTTCCAGGTCACAGACAAATAAAGAAAGTATGTTAAGGGGAAAAAAAAATCCTTTTTAAAAATAATTAGGGAGCTGTCTGTTTCATTCACCAGATGGAAAATCCGCAGTTGTGGGTGGTCTGTGTTGGAGAGGGCATCTCACAATTGGCAGGACGGTGCCTTTAACTTTTCAAGTTCGAGGACAAAAATCTCATCACCACTGATTGTTCAGAAAGGCTCCAAATATGTGTCAGCCTTTCTGGGCTCAGCTTTCCTGAATTTTACCCATTTTCTAAAAAAAGCGTGTAGGTAAAATGTTTATGTAACGCCAAAACGAACAGCCCATTGTTCTTTGAATTCAGAAACGGCATTCCTGTCAGCCCTGCTCTGTGACTTCGCTTGCAGTCAGGGTATGGTGCTGGTGGTCTGCATGGGGGACCCCTGTGTTGCTGTTTCTTACCTCTGTATCTTCCAGAGCCAGTCACATGGGCAAAGGTGCCTAAAGCTTAAAAAATTGTTGTAAGGTTATTTACTGCGATAAGAGGTTGTACTGTCATCAATGTTTAAGGTCTTTTATAAGCTTACTTTGTATCCTGGTCAAATTAATTCAATGAAAAGATAGAGTTTTCTTATTGCTTTTTTGCACTGATACTAGAAAGTTATCTAGCTTCACTACTGATTTTTTTTATTATCGGTACTGGGGATCAAACTCACAACTGTCTGCTTGCAAGACAGGTGCTTATGCCGCTGAGCTAAATCCCCAGCCCCTCACTACTAATTTTTTTTTTTTTTTTTTTTTTTGGTCTTTTTCATTTTTATCGGTACCAGGGATCGAACTCACGACTGCCTGCTTGCAAGGCAGGTTCTTATGCCGCTGAGCTAAATCCCCAGCCCCACTACTAATTTTTTAAAGTTAGTTTTTTGTTTTGTTTTGTGCTATTTGGGACTGAACCCAGGGCCTTTGCACTGAGGCACATGCCTAGTCCTTTTTTATTTTTTAACAGAATCTCACTAAGTTGTCTAGGGTGGATTTAAAATTAAAGTTTGGTTCTCTTGCCTCAGCCTCCCAGAGACAGGAGAATTATAGGAGTTATCCTATATCCTGCTAGTAGTTTTTTATTTTATTTTTTTACATGCATCAAAATATCATTTTTTCCCCAGCGCAGTGTTACATGTAATGGGACTTTAATTCTTCAAATCAGACATACTTTGAAATGTTTTCTGCTTGAACATTTGGACATGTATATGTTTCTATTAATATTTCATTCATAAATTTACTCACTCAAAAAAAGTCGCAATGATTAGTAGAGAGCCAAATTAATAGCAGTATTTAGGATACTTAAATGTAAAACTCAAATTGAATGAAAAGCCTGGCCTTGCTTCCCCCACCCCAGCAGACAGCGGGGGCGTGGATTTGAACGGCTCGAGTGGGGACGGTCGCTGTGATTTATTTGCGGTGTCCCCACACGCATGCTGCAGTCTGTCCCCTTTCTGAGTGCTCACCAGTGGAGTTTAAGAAACATAATTCTGCTCAGGTTTTCCACTCAGGTTTTGGTAGCACTATTAATAGCAGCCCTTTGTTCGTGCCAGCTGACTTCGCAGAAGACAGTGATGTGCAGGAAACCTGCGCTCACCCAGGGACTAATTGGCATCTGTTCTCCTGTGATAGCCCAGGTGCAGCCGAGGGAGAAGTTCCTTTGCAATCCAGGTCATGGAGGTAGAGGAGCTGCCCTGTGTGACAGGTGGAAATGAGAGGGACCTTCACAATGCCATTGCTTGTTTTGCTTTGTTTGGGCAAATCTTACTGATTTTCCTCTAGAAGGTGGGAAAATTTTGAACCACTGATGGATTTATTTGCTAAATACTGTATGGTTCTTCATGAAAAAGAAGTTTCAGAGAGGAAACAGGCTGGGTGTGGTGGTGACTTCCTCTAATCCCAACACTCAGGAGGCTGAGCAGAGCAGGAGGGCTGACAGCCTGGGCCAGCCTAAACTGCATGGGTACTGAGACCCTGTCTCAAAAACAAAATAGTAACAACAACGAGAAACGTTTTCAAAGAAGGGATGCAAAAGAGGTAGTATCCGAAGTCTCAGATGTGGGTAGCAGATGTGTTGGTGCACACACACTTGTAATCCCAACACTCGGGAGGCTAAGGCAGGAGGATTGCCCCAATTCAAAGCCAGCCTTGGCTACCTAGTTCAAGGCCAGCTGTACTGCATGATGAGATCCTGTCTCAAATGAAACAAAAAACTGAAAAGGAAGCCTCAGGTATTTGTCTCCCTTTACCTTTACTGCCCTGAGAGACAGAAACGATAGCATTAACCTCATGGGTGAGGCTGAGTCTTGATTTGGCCGGAGTGGCCCAGGGCCTTAGCAAGAAGGGAGGCCCCGGAGTGGTGGTGGTGGTGGTGGTGGTGGTGGTGGTGGTGGTTGTGGTGTCTGCTCACCCCGGAGAATGCCTTGGCCCAGCTTGGGACGCTGCTCTCCAGATCCTCGCAGCCTGAGGAGCAAGCTCCTGCGCTGTCCTCTGCGACCTTCCCGGAGTGACCTTGTCACGTCCCATGTCCCTGCACTCCCTCCTCGCACACACACGCATGCGCACTCATGTTGTGAAGCCACCCTGTGACTGCTGGCTCTTTCCCGGGCTCACAGTGCTCCCTCTGCCTACTGGACCCCTGCCCATCTTCCATGTTGTAATGTCTGTTAATCAGACGTCACCCCTTTGGGATGACACACTCGCGCGCGTGGTCACTGGTGCTGCCACCGTCCATGCTCAGTGAAGCCTCCCCGGGCGCCGAGCTGCTCCCTTGCAGGTTTGAAAGCCCAGCGCTGGCTTGGTACCGTGCTCATGGCAAGGATTGACTAAGTACTCTGTGTGTGTATGTGTGTGTGTGACAGAAACATTTTAAAGAGTTTTATTATTAACTTTATTGGTACAGTTTAGATATACACCATGGTCACACTCATCACAGGGAATTTGTACCCGCACATGATCTGTCTCTGGTCCTCTTCTTGCCTCAGTGCTTTTGGAATGAAATGGGGCTCTGTCCGATAAGGCCCGGCTTGCTCAGGCAAAAGACTTTACTGGGGGGACCCAAGTGGAGGTGTCATACACATGGTCTCTAACTCTCCTCAGGATGATGCTCCAGGGGGACGAAGTGCATCTGGGTGGTCACCCTGGGAGACTGAAAGCTGCAAGGAGGAAGAGAGGGTAAGGGAGTCCTCCAGAAGCAGCCAGACCAATGCCCATACCCCACAGGTACCCCGGTGTGCCTGTCTGGTGTGTTCACTGGGACCCCAGCAGGACAGGACCTTCTCTAGGAAAACACAGGGACCGCTGTCAAGCATGGAGGCGAGGCCCCGGTAGCCAGCACCTGGAGACCTTGTATACCGGGAACACAGTAGACTCGAAGACGAGGTGGAAAGGGCTGTGAATGTCCTAGCAGTGCCACCCATACCCTAAGTGGTGTCACATCTGCTTTCACTTTCATACGTACACGTGAGAGCAGGCAGGCTCCTGGAGGGTCACAAATCTGCCACATCAAAAAGACGATGCCCTTTCCTGGGCAAAATCTAGGGGAAGGACCTGGGAGACTGATGGGAAGGTGGGAAGAATCGCAGTCAGCAGCCAGGGGAGACAGCCTAACAGGTGACAGCAGGTGGCAGTAAATGCAGGCATGGGCCACAAGAGTGTGACAGGCCAGTCAGCCATGGATGTGGAGACCACAGCCCACCCACACACTGTCGCCCAGGGCTACAGTCGCAGGCCCAGGTATATAAGTGCCCAGCGCTGCCTAACGAGGACCTCTCAGAACAGTCTGAACGGGCAGCGGAGGTGAGGGAGACTGGAGGTGGCATCAGACTGACCTGTGGGGGCCTCAGATTCTGGCTTGAGATTTTACTTTTTATTTTGGTACCAAGAATTGAATTTAGGACCTTGCACTTGCCACTTTGCAGGCAGCTGTGAATAGGAGTGGCTGCAGATGGCCTGGAAGGGGAGTGTTGTGGTGCATGTGCAGTGTCACAGAGCAGACTGGAACAGTGGGTCTATGCTGAGGGACCTGTGTCTGGAGGCCAATAACATAGAGGGTCTATGCTGAGGGACATAGAGGACTGAGAAAAGCAGCCAGAAGGGGAGGGGTGCCGGGACCCCGCACCCTCCGACACCGGCCCATCACCAGGTGGTGGCAGTGGCCATGTCCTTCCCCCGGTGGGTCTGGCCCTGTCTCGCCAGTCTCATTACGGCCCATTGGATGGCATTTCTCTGCCGCCTGTCTCTTTTGCCTTGGGTATCGCACAGTTCAAGCACAGCACAAGAAGCGGCTGTGGATATTTTCTCCTTTTCTTGGTTTTCCTTTGGTCTCTGGTCTGCTTTGTTGTCGTGTCGTGTCCTGTCCTGTCCTGTCCTGTCTTGTCCTGCTCTGTCCTTTCCAGGGCTCCTATAGACTGAACCTAGGGCCTTTGCCCTGTGCTTCATCCCTAGCTTGTTTTTATTTTTGAGTCCCAGTCTCACTAAGTCACCAAGTTGCCCGTGTGGGAGTGCTGGGATTAGAGCTGGGTACCACCATGGCCAGCTGGGTTTTTATCCCCCCTCCTTGTAGGTTCTGCTTTGGAATCTGCAGGAGTCCACACCTCCTGGTAACCAGCACTGTCACTGCTGTCTACTCAGTCCGACTGCCCGAGTGGAGGGCACCCTGGTGACGTGTGTGGGCACCGTTTTATTGATGCTTGTCCAGTAATGTGTGTATAATCTGGAAGATGGGTTTAAGGTCTGTGGGCAGAAAGGAGGCCTCAAATGCCCTGAGTGTGTCAAAGATCATTTCTTTTTTTTTTTTACCCCAAAACATAGGACAGACATGCAGGACTCTTACCTGAGACCATCCCTCAGTCCTCCGGGGCACACAGGCATGAGGGGACCCACTCCATTCCTGGGGCACAGATCCCAGGGGACCCTGAGGAGTGAGGGATCAGTTGAGGCAAGGAGCTTGGTGTGAGTTGAGGTGCCACTTGAAGGGACCATTGGAACTCAGGGCCTCCAGCGACCCCTCGTCTAAGCCTCACACCAAACCTTCTACCTACGCTGCCCACTGCTGTGTGCCAGGCAGTGGGTGGAGAGAAGTGGCAAAGGCACCTGGCTTTGCCTGAGAGTCAGGATGAAGCCAGAGGGAGGGGCATGACACTGTTTTGTTTGTTTTTATTTTTGATTCTGTTTCTGTTTTTGAGATACGGTCTTGCTGTGTAGTTCAGGCCAGTCCTGATCTCAGTATATATGCTAGGTTGGCATTAAACTCATGGCAATCCTCCTACCTCAGCCTCCTGAGTGCTGGGATCATAGGCATGTGCCACCAACCTGGCTCCCATTTTTAAATTAAGTAGCATTTTAACAAAATGTTCAAGGGTCCTCCTTGCTGTCATCCAGCAGTGGAATGTGGGCAGCCTGGCTTATTACAGGGAGAAAGAAAGCACTGATATCATCCCGCTCTGACAGAGGTGACTGTGCCACAGAGCACATGGTGCCAGGCGCTGAGACTGAACCCAGGGCCTTTCTTGTCCTTGTCTTGTCTGTCTGGTGGGCAGCCACATTGTCCGTATGAGAGTCATTGGCCACAGCCACACAGATGAGCCAGCAGTCCTGTCTCCCGGGTCTGAACCAGGCCTGACCCATATCACATGCATCCCTGGTCACACCAAAGGCATCTCTGAGAGGTGGTCGAGCTCTGTTTCAGATGGTGAGCAGAGACCCAGGGAGGTGAGAGCCTGGCTAGGCTGAAGCCCTCAGAGCTGGGATTCGGGCCCCGATCTGCTTCAGAGCCTGTTTTTTTTTTGGACAGTGGTGTGTCTTATCATAAGATTGGTCCTCCCAGCTGAGAATGGTGTGCATGCCTAAAATCATAGCGCTCTGGGAGGCTGAGGCAGGAGGGTCATAGGTTCTAGCCCAGCCTGACCAACTTACCAACTTAGCAAGACTATCTCATAAAGGAAGGAAAAAAGGAAGGAAGCAGGCAGGCCAGGGGAAGCAGCTCCATTAGAAAGGCCCTGGCTTCCATCCCCACTTAGTACAATGGAACAAACCATTGTGCCATTCGCTGGGCCAGGCCCATGGAAGCAATGGCCAAAGACCACAGTGTGGTGTTCTGTTACTGTGGGGACCCAGTGCCTTCCACAGCTGCATGCAGAATACACTCGGGAGGAGGACAGGGCAGTGGCCTCTCTTGGGGGAGCCTGAGGGCAAGGTCAGTTGTCTCTGGGCTTCCTCCCAGCCCAGGGAAGGACCCTTTGCAGGAAAGGAGATGTACCTGGTGGAGCTGGGTGGTACCCTTTCTTCCCAGTTATCGACCCCATCTTGGTGGGCTGGCCCACCCTGCAGCTTGCACAGCCTGGGAGCAGGAGGCCACAACACTCAGGAGGCTGAGACAGGAGGATTGCTGTGAGTTCAAGGCCAGCCTGAACTACATAGGAAGGTCCTGTTTCAGACAGAGAGAGACACACAGAGAGAGAACGATCATGAACCAGAGAAACAAAAACACCTTTTAGACTCTCTGGCAGCCTTAGCAGATGTGTGAAATCACAAGTCTTTGGTAGCTAGAACCCACCCCTCTTTGGGCTCATCCCTCTTCTTGAATTATTTTCTGAGCGTTTTGCTTTTTTAATTTATTTTGTAATTAGGGCCAAAAAGCTACAGCTTCTGAGCAGGCGGGCTGGAAGCACTGGAGTGAGCCAGAATGGGGCGCGATGTGCCCGGTGTGAGGGAGAATTTCACTTTGGAGTGTTTGTAGCTGCCAAGATCAGGGTGCGGTTTTGGGATGGCCACTAGATGGCACTCACACACTGGGGTTCGGACCCATTCGTGACACTAGTCTCACTAGGGACCAACTAGAGCTCTGTATCTGTCATGTCTCCATCCATTCATCCCGCTAACCTCTCTTGATCTTCTGCAGATACATAGATGGACAGATATATGCCTTTTTCTAATTCATTTAACTCCATCGATATTTAGCGATCTTAAAACCCTGGCAAAATACCTTCAAGGGCTTCAAAGATTGTTAGCGGCTTGGCTGTACTTTCACTGTTCTAAGCAAATGTTTACATGGCAGTAAATTCATTTTTACAGTGGGTAACGGAGGGAAACTTGTTTCCCTCATCACTCATTCTGAGTGTACATTCAATAAAGGAAACATAAACTGAGAACAGGGGAGTTATTAAAAAAGAATGATAGGTAAGGGATGTTTTAAAATTTTTTCTAAACGATGAGTTGGTAAATTGTAAGATATTTATGATGAAAGCATTATTTCATCAGATCATTTCCTATCGTTAGAATTTTCAGCCAGCCAAAATCCAAATACAAACATCTGACTGTCCGGGGGCCAGGAAGGAGACACAGAGACTGAGAAGTCTGGGATCCCTGGCATTATCTCCCGAAGGTGCATGTGCTGCGAAAGCCCAGCTTCGATTCCCCATCCTTCTGACGTTTTAAGAAATAAACACCAGAGTCTTCGTGTCACTTAAAATGGGTTCTGCCCCTGCCCGAGTGATTTTCCCTGAGCTGCGTGGGTGCAGAGCGAGCCCTGCCTGTGGCCTCTTTGCTGAGATAACAGCACTGAGGTTAAACCTGTGCACTGCAGAAGGGCAACAGATGGAAATTCTGGTTTGTAGCCACTGCAGAAAAATAAAAACATGTTCCGAAGGGAAAAGGATCTTGTATTTCTGTGTTGGAACCTTTGATCTGCATTCACATCTGAAGGGAGGGCTAAACCTTTTGGTGGAGAACACATGGCTTTGCATCTGTGAAAACACAGCTGTATAGAGCAAAACAAAACTAGTGGAAAGTACAATGGTTTTGCTGTGTCAGGCCCGCTGCTAACGCTCAAATTCTATACAAATATTGTCTTTTGATAGCTCTTTCAGAAATCCTTCTAAACTTTCCCTATCATTGCTTAGTAATGTTATTCTTTTTAATTCAGATGTGAGGCTTTTGGGGAGGACTAAAGTACACATCACATCGTCTTTTTAAAAAGAACAAGGAGTAAAATAAATGGGCTGGAGTCAGAATACAGTAAATTCTAAATCATCTAAATTCTAACCCAGTTGGTAGTAGGGAGGTGGGAAATGTAAACCTTTTCAAAGAAGATTGAAGTTCTCACTTGATCCTAATTTTTCTGGAAATACTGTCTGAGCTTTGCACTGCAAGTTGCAGGCCAAGGAGGGCCTTGGAGGCACTGTCTAAACTTAGCTGCTTTGTTTAGTGCAATTAAGATTTGTAATTAAGTGAATGGAGCAGCCCTGCTTTCACTCATCTGTGAATGGTGATCTTAGAAGTTTCCTTCAGGTTCCAGTCCCATCCCAGGCCCCAGGAACCCAAGCCAACTCAGGAGGTACAGTCCTTTCTTCATCTCCTGCCCCCTCCTCCCCTTCCCCAGCCGCCTCTCCTCTGGCCCCTCTGCCCTCCCGTGTCCCCGGTGCCCAGGCCTGGCTCAGTGCGCTCTGTGCAGGTAGACAGCAGGCAAAAGCTGGGCTGCAGTCTGTGGCCTGCACGCTCTTCTCCTGCAGGGGCTGACCCAGGAGGCAGCGCCTGTGCTGTGTCACCCTGCACACCCTCTTTTCCAGCACCAACGGCTTCAGCAACAGCTGGCCCGAGAGACCAGGACGTGTGGCCTCTGTTCAAGAGGGGACCTGCTGCCCCTGGATAACAACCACCTTCGCGTTCTGCGCTCTGGGGAATGAGTCTTTGCAGGCACCCAGAGAGCTCAGCAGGGCTGCTCCCTAGCCCCTCTCCCCTTGGCAGGAGGGAAGAAAGGAAAGAAAACTGGGGTGGAGACCTAAGCCACCGAGCATTGCTGACTGGTCTTCCCCTCCGTTCAGCTCTGCCCTTGGAAACTGCTGCGGATTTGGCTGTGGGGCCGCTGGGTGTCTGTGCGGCCCGCAGGGTGCGCCGGATTGGGGGATGGAGAAGGGGCCAGAGGGGGAGAGGGGGAAGAGGCCGAGGAAGGAAGTGTCCTGAAAGACAGGTCCTCTGCAGAGCTTCTGCTAAAGGTCTGATACATTTGAGTAAAAGAAAAACAAACACCCCTCTTCCCTTAAAGCAAACAACAAAAACCCTCCTCTGGCCCCAAACCCTGCTTCAGGGCTGCACTTTGTTCCCGGGACTGTTGGTGTCACCAGAGCCTCTGTTTTTGCAACTCGGGACTGCTGCAAAGGGCTTGCAAAGCCTATTAATTTTTCAGGCAAACAGATTCATCCTGCCTTTGATGCTGCTGTTTCTTAATTTAGTATTCAAAGGTAAAGAATTCTGCCCCGTTCTTTTCTTTTTACATAATGAAGAGACCCCCTCCCCAGTGGTAAAGAACTAGTCACTTCGTATTTTTTGAAGTAGAAGATCTAACTTTTTATATCACATCTGTTTTTATGGTCTATCCTGGATATACCCAGTATTTACTTTTTGCTGATACCTTGCTTCATGCCTTGCAGCCTGCATTTTAATTTTTGACAGAAACGGTAAATGGTATTTCCTGCTTCTAACTCCCCAAACTTAAACATATGTATTTCTCATCTAACAAACTGATCACACAATTTAAAAAAATAAAGCTCTCTAGAATCATTGATTTCTCTAACCGCTTCAAGACTCCTGATTGGATTTTACATTGAGCATTTATTTCTAAAGTTTAAAGTGGACTTTCACAGGTTTCCATCTGCTGTTTTAATCACACATTGTGACCCTAGAGGCCTTTTGTGTTCTTATCTGTGCATTTCAATACTTGTGGGAAGTGCCTTGGTTTCACTACATATGCAAAAAGCTCGGCTTGAATTTTTTGACACCCCCAGTCCATTTGTTGGTGGCGTCCTGTTTTCCATTGTTCGGTTGTTGACGCTGGCAAAAGTCATTTATTTAATGATGCCAGGGAGCTTAGGCTTTTCTTCTTTATTGGCTTGCAATCCTAAAACATCCTGGAGTAGCTTAAAAATTAATGCATGCATGCTTTGGAAACTGTTAGGAATCAGATAGTTTTATTTTCCCGTCTAAAGGTAGGTGATATTTTAAAGGTACTGGGCAGTAATAGTCACCAGAAGCCAATTAAAACTTCCCGCGTTCTATCAAAAACCTGTTTGGCAACATAAATAATTGATATCTGGAAATAAAGCCACGGCTCTGTGCGGGCCTGCCACCAGGCCTGGGTAGCAGGAGCAGAGCCTCTTCTGTGAGCCGTGAGGTGATTTCTAGGCATTCTGTCACCTGGCTTTTAAAAACTTGATAATCAGGCCACACACAAATACATCTTGAAAAGGATCTCCTTGGCCCACAAAGAGACAGTGACATTATTTGCAGGTGTCTGAGAAAAAGAAATAAATCCCAGGCTCCTCGTGAGCTAGGTGCGAATAGAATAAATTGAGGCACTCTACCGAAGCATCCAGCTTTTTAAAAATGACGTGATTAAAAAGGACATCTGAGAACAAATTTATGAAGTTGTTATGGCAACTGAAATACTTGGATTGAAATGTGTGTATCTGAAACATGAAAGATTGCAGGAAGCCAGAGAAACAAGCCCGGCATTGTGTTTGGGAAAGGGAATTGAACAGTGGTAGCCAAATATTATTCCTCCGGCGGTCATCCTTCAGGGTAACTGCCTCGGTTTCCACTTTTAAAAATGCGTGGTGATTGATGCTTTCACAGACTGTGTCACCCCGAGTCCCCAGGCCTTGTACCAGCTTTTGCTCATTGGTCCCTTGGCCTGCGGAGAACACAATCTCCGTATTGTGTGCAATGCGGGAACTGCATTTCGTGTTGCCACCACATTGACCCATAAGTTTATAGCTCTGTGTTCTCCGATTAATGTCCTTCTCTATGAAGTCTCTCGGTGCCGTCACCGCATCCCCAGTCCTGACTCACCACCGGCCACCTACAAGCCGCCCCACTCAGTGTGTCCAAATATTTCAGTATTCCCCACAATTCTTGGTTTACTGTCTTCTAAAAGCTGTAGATCTCTTCTGTGTGATTCGATCGTTTGAATTTCTCAAGGTTTTTTTTTTTTTTCTTTTTTTACTTTTCCTCACCAGACCTAGCAAACATACTAAATAATTATTGCTTTAAGTCTCAGGCATGGATATCTAAAATAAGCATGTACAAATAAATGCGTATTATAGGTGTTAAGTTAGTTGGGAAATAGATTCCTTAAGCCACATCTGGAATGTCTTAGAGTGTTTTGTCTTTAGATTTAGAGGCATGCAGTGCCCAAAAAGTTGTTTTTAAAAATGTTATTATAAATCCCTCATTATATATTTTGAGTTGTTTTACCTTAAATGAAAAAAAAATAGTAAATGTCAATAATAAGAGTGTTAGTACAACATCCTATAAGAAGTAGACTATTTGAACTGAGAAAAAAAGTTTGGCAAAACATTCATTACCAAAAAAATTCAAATGAAGTAATTTCTTCTTTAGCAATATTGACTGTTGAATGCTAATTACTGAGCTACTTAGTGTCCTTAATTTTAAGCATATCTCTTACTTTAAATAGTCTTAAACCCTAAAGTTAAGAAAAGCAGAAGAGAAAAAAGTAAAAAATTTTCAGAAAATTATATATCCTTTAAGCCATGAATAAAAACTGTCTACTCCCACTAAAATTACTTAACAATTTCTTGCTGTATGGATACAAAATTTCCTTTCTCTGATGGATTGCTTCCCTAATTCTTTAATGACTGAGATCAAACATTCTTCTGCTCTTGCAAAGCGAACTCTTGTTGATGTGCGGTGGGCTAATTATTCATTTTAAATATTTTATTAAACCCTTGCATTCTTTTTCACTACGTGTGTGGCAGTGATTTCGTTTTGGTATAACTTCTTTATTTTGAAAACCTATAGATCGAAGATGAGACCATCCAAGTAATAAAAAGGCAGTTCCAAGTGTATTAAATGTAAGGCTTTGGGGTGTTTGGACACAGTGGACAGTAAAAGTCCCTTTCTCCATGTTAAGGATCTGTTTTCTTCCTAAGGATGATTTTGATGCTTTCCAAAGTGGATGCTGTTTTATTTCAGGTGAGTCATTTAATAGTTTGTTGATGTTTTCAAGGTCCGTAAACAAAGTCTGATGTGTTAACAGTCTTATTAACGATGTTAAAATAGAATTAACAGCTTGTGGATGCCCCCAGAGCACAATAGCCCAGCCGCCTCTCCTGTGCCCTTATAAACTGTGCCCGCTGTCTTTCCTTTGTTTCAGGCCCAATCAGCAAACTCAACTTTTGTGGGGGAGAAGGCAGTTCAAGTGTTCCTGCCACCGCTGAAGGGAGGAGCTAATGTGGAATTTATTGGGAGACCAATCAGTGCTGGAGGGAAGCCCGACCCCAAAGCGAGGAAAAGGACTTTGTTGACCTGCGTGCTCCCTGACCTTTTCTTGCTGTTTTGTCCCTTGAAAGAGTTTTACTCGGGTGTCGTTTGCTTTATGATGCTTTTGCTCAAAGCCCCAAGAAGTTTTAGAAGTTTGGAATGATTTAAGATACATCTCAGCCCAGATAAGGTTGTGCTGTGGTAGTTAGTAGCTTGACTCAGGTTAGCACTCAGTCAGTTTTTAAAAATCCAACACAAACTATTTAATAGTTTTTTTTTTTTTTAAGGGAATAGAATTTCATCAATTCTCTGAAGTTGAAATAGGTTCTGATTTTCCTGTAGTGTCACAGAGAGAACCAGATAAGCTACAGACCTTAGAACACTGGCTTGATTTTGTTGATTTGTGCTTTTAAAAAATAGATTTATGTGCTCTAGGTCTTTAAGACATTGTCAGCCAATAATCATAATAAGCCAGAAATAAAGATTTTTAGAAGAAGGCTTATTTTGGGGGCTAGGGATTTAGCTTAGTGGCATAAGCAGCCAGGTGAGGTCATGTGTTCGATTCCCGGTATAAAAAAAAAAAGCCTTATTTTTTTTCGTTACTATTTCTATGATAGTGACAAATTTCAAAAATTAGCCCATATTGAAGTACAGATTTATTGGATAGCCTAAGAAATAGGTGATGCGGGGCTGGGGATTTAGCTCAGCGGCATAAGCGCCTGCCTTGCAAGCAGGTAGTCGTGAGTTCGATCCTCAGACAGATAAAAAGGAAAAAGACAAAAAAAGAAAAGAAAAGAAATAGGTGATGCTACTTTACCCTTTGCCACTCCCTGCTAATTATTTATAAATACATCACAATTTATGAGCTATTTCCCCATTTTCCTTGAGTGGTAGATAGTGAGATACTGTGCTATTAAGAATTAAGTGGTTTTTAGGTCGGGCAGGAACTGTCCTTGTTTCTATCTTGGCCTTATTTTGTTTTCTCATATGCTTTATTGCTTGTTTTTCTTTTTAAGGCGCTTCTATGCAGGATCTTTATGAGGATAGTGCTGAGATCTGAGGTGGTCACTGCTAGAACAAAGAAAAAAACCTTTAAGGCAGCACTAGGACTGTGAACTTCTTGGAAAAAAAAAAAAACCCAAGGTTCTATAAAATTACTCAAATGCACCCAGATACAGGCAGTGAACTACAGTTAATGAGCTGTGATTTCAAAATATGATTATTTGTCATGGCATATGCTATCATGAAACGGGGCAATTGGAGTTCGTCCCCTCCCTGAGCTCACATTGTGCTACTTAGGGAACCTGCAAGGGGAATATTTTCTTCTACTTTCTAAGCCCTAAAGATAGGTAGTCATTGATCGAACAATGTATGAAACTGGCGCAAACAGGGTATCATTTGATACTAGCCCCATGCACGGTATAAATAATAACGCTTTCCGGTTGGCATCCCTGAGCATGTGCTGCTTGATTAGGGGCATTTTACCTGGCTGAAGAAGAATGTCTCTGTGGTAGTCCTCTGTCACTCGTAGCTGTTTGTCATTTTTACCCACAGCATACATCGCCACCCACCCCCATCCCCTGGTCCAGTGCGTACTCACATACCTCCGCTGGGCAGCAGAGCTGTCTTGTGCCCAAATGTAACCGGCTCTTTGTGGTGTGTCCACTGGAGGAACGCACCAGGCCTTCTAGTTAAAGGGCCATTGGGGGTACGCCTGGGGGTGTGGGCACCACGCTGCCAGCATTGATGCCAGACACGAACACCGAGTCTACCAATGGAAGTGCCCAGTGCACATCTGCGTGACTTGGGGACCATAAGAAAGCCAAAGGGATTAGCAACAGACAAAGAAAGCTTGTCACCTTTGTGCAGAAGCCAGCTGGCACCTCTCAGGGACAACCTGAGCAGCGCCATTTTCATCAAAGCTGTGCTCGGAGAGCTCCTGTTTGGCTTTTGCTAATTCCAGAGCCTGTTGCAGGCCTGGGTAGTGGAGGGAAAGGGCGCCTGGGGCTGGGACCCATGTCTTTTGTTGCAGGTGACATGGAGGGGGGAAGGAGACAGATCTCAAATTCAACGAAACTTTAGTCATCAGCACCATTTTCTCTTGAAGGACATTATGAATAGCAATTATCCTTCAAAAGGTTCGTTCTGTTTATGATTTATTTTTTAAACCCAAAGGAAGAAAAAGAAAGTCAGTGGCTCTAGCATTGGCTTTAGTGGTGACCTGACAGATTGATTCCACTTTTGGACCACTGACAGTCACTAACACAACTCACTGAGCCAGGAGCTGCCCCTGAAGTGGCTCTGGGCCCAACCTCCCCAGGCAGGACTCTTGGTGCTCTTAGAATTCTGAATGGGCCACAGTACCCATTAGGACAAGAAAAGATGCAAGGACAATGCCTGACAACTTGACTGTTTACTTTTGTATTTTAAAATTTTTGATTATAGAAATTATTTATTTCTTATATATTTGTCATTCTTTTGAAATAGATACTTGAAAGCCAGTTCTAAAATATCATTTTAAAAATAATCCACATAAATGTACTTCTTTATTTAATCCTAAGGGAGATTTGGAGAAAGAATGTTTTGGTTTTCAGGAGTTGTTCCATAAGAATATTAAATGATTAATATGATCACTAAAGGTACTTTACCTTTGCATAGCAACTCATTGTTTTAATACACTTTTACAAACAGTACTGCATATGATCTTTGAAAGAATTCTAGGAACAATGTTAGTATCCTGGTTTTATAGATGACAAAATGATAAATGCACATATATTCATAACATGCCACATAGTGTCAGCTTTGTGCTACCAGGGAAATCTGCTTTTGGAAAAATACTTGGTGTGTGAAATTGCTTTAGTAAACACAAATCTGGGTCTGAGGTTTTAATTCTCTATGATACTATAGGAGATGAGAAAAATAGGAATAAAATCATGTGATAATGTATTGTCTCTTTTTAGCATGAATGTTGGTTTTATGATAACTTACTTTTCATGTGTCTATAAAATAAGATAATACTTTGCATCTTTCTTTTACTTTGCATATTTATAATAAAATAAGAAAATTATATCCTTGGGGCTGGGGATTTAGCTCAGCGGCATAAGCGCCTGCCTTGCAAGCAGGCAGTTGTGAGTTCGATCCCCGGTACTGATAAAAAGCAAAAAGACAAAAAAAAAAAAAAAAGAAAATTATATCCTCCACATTTTAAAGACTAAAATTATAATCACCTGATAGCTGAAGAATATTCTCTAGTTAAAGGACAATCTGGTTAAAAAATGAATTTTTGAAAAGACATTCAATCTCAAAATGTCCAGGATATATTTATTCTTTAAAGTACTAGTCACACACACTTGTTAAAGACTAGGTGACTGTGGTATTTTCTTTGAGCAACTCATTGTTACTGATAAGAAACAGAACTCTAATCATGTACAGGAAAATGTGATTAGTATTTCTGAGAATTATTATAGCATAGCTAGACAGGGAAACATCCAAAATGCTAACTATTAAAAGCAAATGTAAAAAATAGGGAAAACCCTTACTTGTTAAAAGAAAGAAAAAAAGAAAGAAAGAAAATTAATGTGTTTCTTAAGAGTAATTTAAATCTTCTAAGTGATAGTTTTGAATACTTTTCACGATAATATTTTGATATTCTTTTTATTAGAATATTTTGGTAGAGGAGAGCGGAGGAAAGTGGCTTAAAATGAGAAGAAAAATAAAACAAAAAGTACTGTTTCCACAATGCAAATTCTTAATAGAGATATCATTGGGAAAAAAATTTAAGTAAACTTGCACAGGTTAACCCTAAGAAAAGTTGCCATCTATAGTCCCAAGGGCTTAATAATAATAATTAAACTGTGGGGAAATAATTATTTGATGAAATGAAGTCTGTTTAGAATTTCACTGAGGCCACTGTTAGAAATCCAGCGGAGCTTCATTTCTGTGTGCTGTGTGATAACCAAGTGTCCGTTTGCAGTCTGGGAGTTTGGAGAGATATTATATGGCCATGGTTTTATTTCAACAACTCTAACATCAAAATGGCCAAACTGTTGGATGGGTGCATGTTAGATAAAACAGATGGGATTCTCAGTTCGTGCACCATTCAGCCGTTTGATGGAATTCGCGCTACCCTGACCAGCGAGCCCAGATGGCGCGTAAATCTGTCACTCTTTAACGACCCTACTGTTTTTTAAAAATATTTTTATATTTGAGCCCATTCGGCTAATCTGAGAGATTAATCATTTCCAAGATCTGTCTGGGGAGGGCCTTCCTAAGAGTTTCTCGGAAGGAGAGGAGATGGCTCTTACCTGCTGGAAGGGTCCTGTGCGGAAGACACCTGGTGTGCCCTGGCCTTGGGGACATTTTAGGAGGCAGGGCCCAGAGGGCCCCTGAAGAGCATAGCAGTGGGGGTGAGGGGACTGGGAGCGCATGGGAGAAGGGCCTGGGGAGTGGAGAGAATTCTGACAGCACCCAGAAGAGCTGCTCTTTGCCAAGTGCCCATCCCCACAATGCCCAATGCTGAAGGTGGCTTCCCAGGGTGGCTGTGAGTAACCCGAGCTTCCTGTGTCGGTGGCTCAGGGTGGGGGGTGAGTCCCCTGGACAGGGCCTGGGTCTTGGAAGAGCCAAGCATCAGAGCTCTCACAGGTCTCATAAGGCTTTTCCCTGAAGTGCTTTTTTCTTTTTCTTCTTTCTTTCTTCAGTCATTATTTTGCATCCACATCTCCTGAAATGCTTCAGTGATTTGGGGCAGGAGGTGCTGGCCCACCCCTCCCTCCAAAATCTCTAACCTTGGATACATTTGCAGAGTGGCTTGGAATTGCTTTGTCTTCCCGCTGGGATGAGAAAAGGGGAAGCGAATGGTTTTTCATTATGTAGACGTGTTTTTTTTTTTTTTTTTTCCTCTGTTTGTATCCAATGTAGCAGGTGTCAAAATATGGTGCAGCTTTTACAGCATCAATGTGAAATTTTCCACTGCCCCAAAAAAGCCACCAGCGCTGGACACTTGCCCTCATCTATATTAACAAAAAGAAAGAGACCTGAACGCCTTTTACCATGCTCCTAGTGCTCTTTCGGTGCCCTGTGGTGGGCTCCCTGGGCCTGTGTGAATGCTGCCTCTCCTTGGGGTTTTGTGAAGAGACACTGCATCTCAGCCTGCATGTGACCTGAGTCCGAATGTCCCGTGCCCCACCCGAGTGTCTGCACCCTGAACACCTATTGGAATTCTGCTTTTGAGGGCTTCCCCAAATTAGATGACAATTACATAGAACCGAAGGGAAGCAAGAAGTGAGTCATGTTGGGAGGTTGTTTGGGAAGCTCGAGAGCCTGGTGGTCTCAAGGACACAGGGTCCGGCAGAAACCGCTGTCCTGCCAGAACACAATAGGAGCTGGCAGTTGTGCCTAAAACCTCTTCACAGAAGTGCCACATTTGACCCTCCCCCAGGGATGGGCTTCAATGTGTTCCTGGTAGGCTGGAGGAACGGTGAGCAGGTGACACATCATTCTCAACTTTAGTTTGCTGTGGGCCGGGACGGCCACAGTTCCACCTGCACACACACACAGAGCCAGCGTTTGGAAGGGACTGCAGGGCGACAGCGGAAGGAAGGTTGTGTTTGTCCAGACAATAAACTTGCACTGATGAAAAGGAGAGCTCTTGGCACCTGCCCTGTAGCAGGTGAGCAGCGTGTTGGCATCCGCCTGTGTGTGGGCTTCCGTTTCCCAGGAGCTTCCACATGTTTAAAGAGTAAAATCAAATGTTCTGGCCAGGGAAGCAACTGGTGGTACCTGCATTAAAAGTTATGTTGCTGGGCTGGGGATTTGTTCAGTGGCATAAGCACTTGCCTTGTAAGTGTGCGGTCATGAGTTCGATCCCCAGTACCAATTAAAAAAAATTGTTTTGCTGAAGTCATATTATTTTATGTCATCCAAAAATGTTTTCTTTCTTTTCTTTTCTTTCTTTCTTTCTTTCTTTCTTTCTTTCTTTCTTTCTTTCTTTTGGTACTGGAGATCGAACTCATGACGCTGCACTTGTTTGGCAGGTGCTTGAGTTGCTGGGCTAAATCCCTAGCCACTAGAAACTTGTTTTTTCTTTTATTTTACTAGACTGGATATTCCTATAGGTCTGGTAAATATTCTCTGTGGATTTACTGAGTCAGTTCATTCCACACCCATGTAATTTTCTCAGGAAACTAATATCTAATACTTCCATTGGCAGATGGGGAATACAAGGGCATATGAGTTGTGATTGAAAAATACGTGAATGTTCAAATTTTTAAAAATTTATAGCCAAGTGTGGTGGTGCACACCTTTAATCCTAGCACTTGTGAGGCTGAGGCAGGAGGATCACCATAAATTTAAGACCAGTCTGGGCTGAATAGTGAGTTCAATTATAGCCTGGAATATACAGCAAGACTTTACCTCAAAAAAACAAAAAATTACAGTGAAACACACATTGCCATTAACCCCTCTCAAAATACTTCCATTTACTTCAAACATATTTATCCCATCATTCTTGCCACTTCTTGGAGCAGTTCTAGAAGTCCTTCCCTGAGTGTCTTTAGTTGCACTGTTGTGGCTGCCTCAAAGTCCTCAGTTGATGGAGAATGTTTACCTTTTGTGGTTTCTTTAACTTTAGGGAGGGGCTAGAAGCTGCAAATCTGGTAAGGACAAATCTGGTGAAGAAGCTGGGTGAGGACACACC